GGCATTTCTTATGCTCAACCCCAAGAAGTTAGAAAACTCTTGAGAATTTTTGTGCCTAACACCATGATTTTGCACTTGGTGTGATTATGAAGTCTACACTTGTGTAGAAACACAATTTTCATGAATTGAAGGCTTCCCATGGCTTTTAAGGCCCCCAATTTCTCAAGTACCACTCATTCAACCCTAAAGGCATATTAAAAAAATTATAATTATAAACATAAAATTCATGTACATCAACTCCTAAATCATATAAATCACACAAAATTCCCAATCTATGCTTAAGAACCCTAACCTCCAAATAAACAAACTCATGATATAACACAAATCAAAGAAAGTAACCATGAATACATACCACGAACACAAAACATATTATCAACACTTATCTCAGGGTATTCATAACCCTTCCAAATACATATAATTCAAAACCTAAGCGATTGAAGGATAATCTTATTACCCACAATTCTCACATATGCAATGTAAAAATAAACTCATTCTCCCTCTTACCTCAAATGATGATCACAAAGCCTCCTAAAACGTGATTCACTAATCTATTTTTCGTTCTCCTTACTTTTCTACCAAGAGCTCTTATGTTATTTTCTCTCAAGTGTTAGGGTGTACAAAACCAATTAAGAAGCGTAAAAGTGACTAACCCCTCACTTTCACTTCTAATAGGCAAACTAATGAGTTGGACTTTTAAAGTCCAAATCTTTCACTTAACACACTAGACTAACACATTCAACCCACTTTTTATTTCATTTCTCTAAATAAATATCAACTAAACAAATTTATTATTATTTTATTATGAAAATCAAGATGTTACATGTGTAAAAGTGTTTTAAAATTAAATTAAAATTTATTTCAACTTTATTTTAGCCAAGTGAGTTTTATTTTGAAAATTGCATTTGAAAATCAAAAATGAAAACTCACAACCACCTCAATTGTACCCTTAAATATTATTTTTGTAATTCCTTCTCTCTCTACACACACATCCCTTGATTCACCATTTCTCTCAATTGCTAACACATGTAAGACTTAATACCTCTATTATGATCACAATATTACTTCCATGACCCTTATAACATACTTATTTTTGTCTACCTTTTCTCTCTTTGTATGTATGTATATACACACGTATGTATCTATATACACACATCAAGGATAATAACATTATGATTAAAATGGAGGAGAATTTTGAAACTTTGAGGTCTAATTTTACTTGGAATACCAGTGTAGTAATTATGATCTAAGCATGAGAAAGACATTTATAAATTAAAATTAAATTATAATCAAATAAAAATTTTGGTACTTGTAAAGGAGGTTATATATTTTATCAATTGCTTCATATGTTTTATCATCGAGTTGATTGAACATGTTAAAGGTAAAAACATCTAATGCATACATTTTGCATGTCTTATAGTTGCTAAAAGATACACTAACATATGTGACATTCTTATTAGTTAAGATAATGCGACCCACCAAATGTAGTAGAAAAGCAATTATTGCATAGTTAATGAGAAAGTCTCAAATGTGTGTCTTATACAAATCCCACAATCAAGTGAATTCCATGCTCATTCCTTAGGTTGCCATCATCTCTAAGAATGTCTCCTCTATGTTAGTCTTAAGCAACTCCACTATAAACAAATAAGAACATTTTTCATGTAATGATGGACACAAACACAACTCTCCAAACACAAAAAGAAAACATGTCATCTGAAGTGATAATCATCTCTCTAAATAGAAGGTGGAAGGAGTTGGTGTCCTTGTGCCAATATTGTGACACCCTTCTACCCAAATTGTTTTAACTTGAAATAATAATAAAATATGACAACTAAATATAAATAACCCTTAACTCTCAAGTAAAATGATTCACATCACTTGTTTTTCACCGAATAAAACTCATCAACATAAGAAATACAAGTTCTAAAATAAAAAGATACTTAGGCACTAAAACGACATTTACAAGTTTTGAAAAGAAAAACCATAATAAAACTATAAATAAAAACATGTTCATAAAAAAAATCCAACAAGACTAAAACTTAATTTTGATGTCACAATCTATCAAAGTGACCTATAAAGAAATCTTATAATGCTAAACTTCATCTCTTGCAACCTCATTTTGCTTAACATGATTATGCTTACTTGTATGGCAATCAACTCAAAAAACAAAACAAATAACATAAATAGAGGAGTGAAAATATATCTCACACTTTTTAAGGCATATATAACAAAGCCAAGTATTACTACAACACATCACAAGTCACATCTCAAACACAAATGCACGCACAACTCAAGACATTAGTTTCATGGACTCTAATGCTCTTATCTCTATATGCATGCGATACCATTCTCAATTTGCATAAAGCTCTCGAATGTGAGGTAGTATAGGAGTACATGGAAAAATGATTATCACACAACGGGTAAATAACTCACAATTCAATCTCATTAGAATAAATATCTTTTAGGAGCCAGTTAGGGTATTATAGTTGGTCATGGTTGCCCCTCATCCCAATCATAGATGAAAAGTTTCTCACCATAACACCCAATGGCTAAGGTAGAAGGCCATGGAGATTCTCCTACATAGACTTGCATCCACCTCCAAGTAAAGTACACATGAACGCATGGACTTAATCACAAAACACAACACATAAAAATAAATAGCTTGTTACTAGGCAAAGCCTAAACTTTCACTCTACTAGATCAATATCTAGACTTCTCAGTTGACCAAAAATAACTTGAATTTTCTCATTGCTAAGCACTTGTTTATACTTAACTCATAAGCCCAAATATCTCAAGCACAAGATCTCAACACAAAACTCTTTGCTCTTACCTCAACTTGCTACTATGCTCATTTATTTACACTCCAATAAAATTATAACACAAAATTCCACACAAATTCCACAATATTAAAGCAAAATCATAGAAAACCCCCAATTTGAGCATTCAAGAATCGTATCTCATATATAAAGGTAAATAATACAATCCATTCCAATGAATCAACAATTCATTCATAAGCAATCACAAACATGCACCACATGTTATCGATACTCGCTTTGAGATGTTCATAACTCAACTAGTCATACATAAGAGAACCTAAACAGGCTCAATGATCGTCTTACTATCCATAATTCTCATATATGTCACATATGGAGACAATCTCTCTCTTTTATCTCAATTGTTAATCTTTGATGTAAATGATGTAGTCTCACTCCTTTGAATGTCGTTTCCCAAACTTCTTCTCTGTGGTCTCCTCTACAAATTCTCTTGAGCATTAGAAGGCAAAACAAACAACTAAGATCATTCCTCCTACCCTTTTTCTTATATTATTCATTTTAAAGTAGTAAATTTTTCTTTCTTTATTTTATAGTTGAAATTCACAATTATACATATAATTTTGTAATAGCACTTTCTCAACTTTAATCTAAGTAATTTGTATAAAAATTTTAAATTTAAATTTCACTGCTGACGTTATAAAAGCAAAAAAAAAAAAAAAGGCATGATGATGATATCTAATTCAAAACACATCAACAAAGTTTAAGATAATTGATACATGTTGTCATAAGTTTAACTTTGTTAGGAAAGATAAAACATGCATGACTGATTTCTGTCATGAAAATAAATTAGGTTTTTTCTGCTAACCCAATAAATTAATTTTTTTTACACCATATTTAAGGATATCTTTTGTGGGAAAAAAAAAACTAAAATAAAAAGAGGGCTAATTCAGTCAAAATGCTAAACCCGGAATTAGCGCACTCGTTCGGACCGAAGCGCGTTTGCCTCGCTTTCCCACTCAATTGTACAAACACGTTGCGTCTTAAATATTATATTCATATTACATCGCAAATGGACATGCCACTAGCTTCTCACGCATATTTTATACGGATAAATTTTAAATTTTGTAGAATGATACTCCTTCTACTTTTATTATAAGGCATTTTTTATCCAATTACACAAACTAATATAAATGATTTTTATTAATTTTATAAAATAAAATTATAATTTATCAAATTTTACTATTTTTATTTATTATTAAATTTTTATGAGAGATAAAAATATTACTTAATATTAAGACTTATGTATCAATACTAATAAAAATGATAAAGTCAATTGAAAAGAGGGAAAAATACATTCTCAAAATCTTTGATAAGGATAAATCAAGAAAAAAATAATTCAATATATTCTTAAAATTATAAGATACCTTATAAAAAAGACAAAATATTTCTTCTAAATTATGTCTTTTATTAAAGATTGAAGGAAATATTTCAAATAATTTTTATTAAAAATGAATTTTATTTCGTTGTTATATATCTGTATTATATTAATAATTGTAGTTTTATAATTTTAATATTTATAAATGTATATTTCAATAGCAATTAATTACTTATATTTTGAATAGCACATTATACTTTAAAATAAGTATTGAAAAAATAATTTAAATTTTATAACGTTGATTTATTTTGTAAAAAATTCAAAACTTAATAATTAAATTGATAAAATTTTATTTATTTTTAAAAATCATTAAAACAACCACTTTACAAAATTGAATGCCTAAAATCAATTTTTATTATACACTCTTATCCTTATATTATACACTTTGTAATTTTTAAAACTACTCATTCTCCACAATTAAAAAAGAAACTGCCTAATACAGATACTTATTTTTAAATCTTAATATTTATTTTGCTGCTATAATCTTCTTTCAAAACTCTCGATAAGAAACTTTTACTAGTATAGAAAGAGAACTTTTTGACAAAAGTCAAAAGTAGATTTAAAATAAACATAAATTATTTTTGAAAATATGTGTATTATTTCTTCGTTATTACATAGAAATGAACACTTTTTTCCCTCTCCATTTTCTTCGCATCTCTTTTTGTAATAATAAATAAAAAGGTCAATCTGCAGGATATCCATCTCCATTTTTAGAAAAAGAAAAAAGGGATATTCATTTCCAATTTAATTTCTTTCCTTTATTTTAATTCCCTTTAAAGAAAAAATTGCATAAAATGGCTAGCTAACTTAGAAATAAAAGAAACCAAAGTACTTGAACTTGGTCCATCAGATACAAACACAAAACAACCAAACCTATCTATCAATCTATGCCATTCATCAACCTCAAATGACTAGGTAAACTCAAGGTTGGTCCAATCTCTTACCCTTTCTTTATGCTTCATTCTTTAGCTTCTCTCTCTACTAGCAACCCTTCATTCTCTAATTTATTTACCTTTATTTCTGCTCTTTCTAGTTTCTGATTTGTACTCTTTTGATTTTTTTTTTTTCGTTCTTCAAAAGGGATGATCTTGAGCTTCTATAAATTTCGATTCTTTGTACTTATAACTATTGTGGGTGTTCACTGCTTTCTGCTAAATTTTTAATTTTTAGCACTCTCCCCCTTTTTTTGTTACTTTTTTTTTGTCAATTCAATCATTAGCTATTAAGTTTTGTCCAAAAGAAGGTTTTTTTTATTTTTATTTTTACTATGGCAAAATTTTGGTTCAATATATGGGGTTTGACTTAGATGGTCACTAGTAAGGACTTGAAGTTCTTACTCAGATCTTGTATCTTGTGTTAACAGATGATGTAGGCTCTTAGATCCGAGTGATGAATGCTGGGTATTTGTTAGCAGTAACACAAATTTATTCAGTGTGAAGCAATATGGGGAACACATGTGTTGGTCCTAGCATTTCAAAAAATGGTTTTGTTCAATCAGTTTCTGCAGCAATTTGGCGGTCCCATTTGCCAGATGAATCAGTGTCTAATAGAGAATCTGTAAAAGAGGAAGCAACTAGCGTGCCTGAATCGCCCTTGCCTGTCCAAAACAAACCTCCTGAGCAGATAACTATGCCGAAGCCGGAAGCGAAACAAGAGGCAAAATCAGAAATAGAACCAGAACAGGAACAAGAGAAGAAGAAACGCAGGAAACCTGGTTCGGTGAAGAGAGTTTCTAGCGCAGGACTTCGTGTTGATTCTGTGTTGCAAAGAGAGACTGAGAACTTCAAGGAGTTCTTCACTCTTGGGAGAAAACTTGGACAGGGTCAGTTTGGGACAACGTTCTTGTGCATGGAAAAGGCAACGGGACTCGAGTATGCCTGTAAATCTATTGCAAAGAGGAAGCTGGTCACTGATGATGATGTTGAGGATGTGAGAAGAGAAATTCAGATAATGCACCACTTGTCTGGGCATCCTAATGTTATATCCATCAAAGGTGCTTATGAGGATGCCGTGGCCGTTCATGTTGTGATGGAATTATGTGCAGGTGGAGAGCTTTTCGATAGGATTATTCAGCGTGGACATTATACCGAGAGACAGGCAGCTGAGCTTACTAGGACTATTGTTGGGGTTGTAGAAACTTGTCATTCTCTTGGTGTGATGCACAGAGACCTTAAACCTGAAAATTTTCTCTTTGTCAATCAGAAAGAGGATTCACTTCTCAAAACCATTGACTTTGGATTATCTGTCTTCTTTAAGCCAGGTATTTTCAGATGGTCTTACTATATATTATTGTGGTTTAATAAATAGTTTTGTTTACATTAGTCTTTAAGGTTGGTTTTAACTTTTAAGCAACTAAGAGTAAAGGGGTTTTTCTGGGAAAGAAAACATTTATTAAATCAGAACTACAAGAGTGTAATAAATGTTTTATTTCACAATAAAAGCATTTCAGTTTTACTAACATGGCCAGGTTGAGATGAATTGAAACATTATGACTCCATTGATATTACTAGGTTGTAATGATTTGAAACATTCATGGAATTCACTGAAAAAATTAAAAGTTGAGGGGCCAAGTTGAGAAAAAGCATACCATAAATTTTTATATGAACACATACACTCAGACAGGACTAGACCATGGGTGGGGATGGAGATAAATATCATTGGATGCTGTATTTGATCTGCAGACTTTGATTATCTTGAGTTTCGTGATTTGCTGAATCTTTTGTATGCAATATTTTTCATAGAATTGGATTAATATTTTAAGGTGCTTGGCATTTGAGGATATGCAATGTGTTTCTATTGCTTGCGTATGAACTTGTTAACTGCATTGGTCCAACAGACATTTTAGTTTTCAAGGGGCTTGATATTTTTCATTGACATTTTGAAACATTTGAAGTTTAGAAGACTTATTCATCTTCTTTATTTTAGGTAGGTTCCTAGCAAAGGATTGTCCTTCTTAGATTTTGAGAATTTCTGTAAGGATTACTTGCTATGAATTTTTATGAGAAAAACATCATAATAGTCGATGTATGTACCATCTAGTTTATATTTGGGATGTGTGTTTCTCTGACATTTACTGTCGATCTTGCAATTTTGTGTACTGCAGTTTGTGTTAGATCTGATAGGCTGTTAATTTTCCAATTCTTTCTTCATTTGTTTTTAGTTTTTATAATACATGATTATATAATCGGTTGAACTGCAAATCATATATCTACGTTGGAGATGTATAAGGTGAGAACTCTTGTTAGAAATGAAAATTATAAATCTAGACCATATAATCATACATGGATGATCAAGCTTAAAAGTTAGTTTTAAAAATCATGTGCATTTTTCTTTTAAGTTAACCATTTAAATATGATCTAACAATTTGTATTTATAGACAGCATTTTTCACAGTAAGAACAATTCTCATTTGATACACTCCTTATATGTAAATAATATAAGAGACATATCTAATGAGAGGAGTAATTGTTGATCATATAACCATACATGGATGGTTAAAATTAAAAGTTAGTTGGCATATGAACACTTAAAAAAGTCATTTGCGTTTATCTTATATTCAAGACCATTCAAATAAGATTTAATGGTCTATATTCATTGTTTTCATTTTTCAGTGTTCCCACCTAAGTAACTCCATGTGTGTGAAACTGTGAATAGATAGATATAGATTTACAATTTATCAAGTTTCTAGTATCATGAGTCATGAGCCTTTTATTTTAACTTAAGCTTTGTACAAGTTGAAGAAGTAATTTAATTCCATGGAGAAAAACCGATGATATTTCACTTCCAGGTGATATATTTACTGATGTGGTGGGCAGCCCATATTATGTTGCCCCTGAAGTTTTGCGCAAGCGTTACGGTCCTGAAGCAGATGTTTGGAGTGCTGGTGTTATCCTTTACATTCTTTTGAGTGGAGTTCCTCCATTTTGGGCTGGTGAGTTCTTTTGGATTTATTTTCAAAGTGTAATTTTGACCGCTGTTCTTATAATTTTATACCTTTTTTTTTTCCTGATTATTAATTTGCCTCCACTTTGTGTGGCTCATTTGGTTATGTAGAAAATGAACAAGGAATATTTGAACAGGTTCTGCGTGGTGATCTTGACTTTTCTTCTGATCCCTGGCCTACAATTTCTGAAAGTGCAAAAGATTTAGTTAGGAAAATGCTTGCTCGTGACCCTAGAAGGCGGCTGACTGCACATCAAGTATTATGTAAGTAGGCTCATTTGGTTATGTAGAAAATGAACAAGGAATATTTGAACAGGTTCTGCGTGGTGATCTTGACTTTTCTTCTGATCCCTGGCCTACAATTTCTGAAAGTGCAAAAGATTTAGTTAGGAAAATGCTTGCTCGTGACCCTAGAAGGCGGCTGACTGCACATCAAGTATTATGTAAGTATAGTTTTACTAATTGATTATTCAGTCACGAGCTTGGCATTACCTTGATCTTTTCAAGGATGTGGGAGCTAGTTATACAATACTGATGTTAAATTTTGTGGGTTGGGTAGAACTTCTTGTGACAGTTAGTGTTAGTCACATTAACATGTGAAGAAAAGGTTTCATATTCCATGTTTGTCTCTAACTTCCATATTCCCGGCAAAGATCATTATCTAGCTATGTAAAATAGCCACAAAGCTACCAGGCATCTTACTGGAAAAAAATGGCTATATTAACAAACATTTACCTCATATGGCTCATAGCATATAAATCTTATATTCTTTGACATTGAAAAGTCTTTGTAACCCAGAAGTGCTGACTATGAAAAATATTTATTTGTGCTTTGAGCCTGAATACTTCCCAAACCATGTTCTTGTATGTAATATTATAACATATTTTGCCACTGTGTCTTTTCTAAACCATTAAACATGATTTAATCATTTACTGAAAGTTGGAAGAAACAAAAAAGACTAGATTTTGTTTAGGGTGTGAACAGTGTATGCTACTTGTTTATAGTGTTTTTTGTGTGAAAAAAGTATAACATGTTTGAAGTAGATAACTAGATCAAGTGCTCATTTTAACACATTTTTGTACATTAGAACATTTTAATATGTATATGCCAATAGAAACAT